GAAGAATATTCATTTCTTTATATAAAGTCTTGTTAAAGTTTTTACTGCAGTTATTCAAATGTTCCTTGGAAAGAACATTGGACTTTTAAGGGTTAAATATGTTCACATTAAAATTAGGATGTTTTCAGGACTGTGAATCCTACTTATGGGCAAAATTCAAAGCATATGAAGTAGTAAAGGACTTAGACGGGGGTATGGTCAGTTGTGAAAAAGGATGATAAAGATAGCTAAATACTGAATCTAATTCTATCGAATACTCCAGTTAAAGAAAATTAATGTACCATTTGTCTTGAAACAATCTATTTTTCTTAACTATTGTATAAGTTACTAACTGAGGTTGTGTTGATGAATCTTAGTGTGTTCTATATATTATTCAGCGAGATTCTATTCGATACTTATTTTTCGTCTATTACTGATTTGAATAACACCGTGCATTTCTATTTCTCTAAATAGCTACTGAACCACCAATAGTCATTATAAGCTATTTTTCGATCCTAATTTGATTCGTATTGCATCAGGATAGAAAGTTGAAATCTTTATCATAAATGTTCTTTCATAAGGGTAATATATGTTCAAAGTTTCATGATCATTCAATGTTTCTAGACTTACAAATGAAATATTCTTTCTCTTGATTCCACGTAAACGAGCATAAAAATAAAGATGTTTGCGTACTGTTAATAAAGAATCAAGTGCATCAAATTGCGGATAATATCTAAAAATAAAAGCAAACGAATCAATCAAATAAAAATGAATATTCTTGTTTGTTTTGTTTATGTTCTACCCTAAATTTTGATGAACAGAATTTAATTGTTTAATAACACTATAATTATTGACAAATGCATTTCCATTTGTCATTGAAATTTCTTCAGTTAACATTTTAAATATTGTCGATGAGCCTGAACCATTAATACCCAGTAAGCAAAAATTTTCACCTTGTTTAACGCCTATAAAATGTTTTCCGAATCTCCATCCATACATCTATGAATAAGAAAATAAACACACATTCTTTTGATTTTTATATTCATACTTTAACTAAATCGATTACACGTAAAATATCACAATTTATGTTATAAAGATCTGAATAAATTCTTTTTCGCGCAGTTGCAATATCATTGTCTTCATTTAATGATATCGATATTGAATAAATATGGCATATATAAAAAAGACAAAACATTCAATCACTAAACACATTATATTTCGATCAATAAAATCAAATTGAAGTGATGACATAGGAACATAATTCTGAACTATAAAAATAATGCACATTTTTTCTAAGTATAAAGTAGTAAGAGGAAAAGAGAAGAAATTAACAATGATACTTAAGACTGATAGCATTCTTGGCATAACATATACTTAAATCGACTGAGGATGTGTGTGTGTGTGTGAGTAGTATCATGTCTTCATCTTTACCCACATCCACATCCTAGTTTCGCTTGCCATTATTGTAAACATTATGAATCGTGTTTTACATATCGAGATTACCGTATTAACTGTTGTTAAAATTTCGAAAACAGGATCGACTACTACTGCTATTCAATCAACATTGTCTTTATTTGTTGGAAGTAATATATTCAGCCCGTGAAAACATCAGTTTTCGATAACTGCACATAGCCTACATGTTCATTTATTTTTATTCCATTTCATTGATATGATTGTACTTTATCAAATTTTCGAACGTATGTTATTAACTTCTATTCACTTTTTCCAATTTATTTTTAATAAATTAATGAATGACCATTTACTGGTATTTCAAGTATAGCAACAGCTTACTCGATGCACAAGATTATATAGTAAGGTATGCAATGTTTGGACCAATCATTTCTGCTAATAAAACTGGTATTAAAAATAGCGACAGTGCTACAAGTGATCTTAGAGCATTTACTAATATCAGTAAGTTTTATGGTGGATCTCTTTGAAAATCAAAACAATTTTAAATCATTCTTAACTTTATTCATATAAAAATTGATGAAAATAGAACTGGAACAATCATTTTTAAATTCTACTAGCATCTGTCTTTCATTTGGAAAATACAATGAAATTTTATTAAAGCAAAAAACTAAGACTAGCAGTCAATACAAAATAGAATTTATTCGAAAAAATGTTCTATATGCCTATTCAGTGCTTTGAGTATTAATTATTTCTACAAATAGATATGCAAAAGGAATTGTTCATTTTATGTGCCAAACTTATTATTACTGTTGATTTGTAACTAAATTGAGTTGCATCTATTCTGCTTTTTTTAAAGATTAAACTAATTCAATAGAATACCTGTATCTTACAAAAGGTAATGTATTTAGATATCTTCTGTAAAGATTTAATTAATCATGTTACTTCGAAAATTATCTTTATAAATAATCTTCATTTTAAGAAAGTAATAGAAGTACTTCTCTGAAAAAAAAAAGGAGTTTTACAGAACCCTTCGAAAAGGTTCTGTAGATTTCGAAAAGTCTCCAAATGTGTCCAAAGTCTCAAAAAAAGGATAAAAAATTCTACAGAACCTTTTGAGGGTTCTGCGTTTTACCCACTCGCAGAACCATCTCTTACAGAACCTTTTTTTAGGTTCTGTACAGCAAAAAAAGGTTCCGTGAGAAAATACGAAACCTTAAGGGTTCTGTACTACACCTTGATGGTTCTGTAC